TTGGAAATAATAAGTCCATTAGGGTGGGAGGGTTTGGGTGAAATGAGCCGGCTCAGAGGTGATCTAGTGGGGGTGAAAACCAAAACGACTTGCTCCAATGCAGTTTGTCAATATATTTCAAGGTAAAAGAGTGCATTGCTTTGCACTCAGCAGTATCACCATTTTGTCACATGTACTTTATCGATCCCTTTTTTCTTCTTTCTTTGATGAACCCTTTTAAAGAAAATCCCAACATATCATTTTACTTTTACATTCTTGACAGGCATCTCTAAAAAGATGGAAATTTTTGCACATAACCACTATGCCATTAACACCCCTAACAAAATTGTGTTATTTCTTGGTATCATTGAACATTTAAATCCATAATCAAATTTTCCCAATTCTCTCAAAATGCCTTTTTACAATTGTTTTATTTGTATCAAGATCCAAACAATGACCAAACACGTATTTAGATGGCTTAAATTTCTTTTAATCTAAAGCAGCTCCCTTCTTTTTTATGCTAGTGTAATTAAATTTTAAAAAATTATAAGGAAGATAAAAGTAAGTTGGAGAAAGGCAAAATGATAAATAGGTAAGGAGATTAAAATGGTACCTAAAATTCCCTCCTAACCATAAGGAAACTTTTTTTAGATAAGCTGAATGCGTGATTGGCTCCATTAACTGATTTTTAACCATTTCCATTAATGTATTACAAACGATAAGTTAAACAATGAGATATTTTAGCCTGGACTTCAGCTTCTGGCATTATGATACATTAGGTGATATGACATTGTTTTTGTGACATTGGTGGTTTCATAAGAGGTATGGGTAGCCTTCAAGTATCTTCCCTCCCCCACAAAGGAAACAAATTTAAAAAAAGATGCAGTTGGAATCGAACTTCCTGCCCCAGATGGGACTGCACTGGCATTACCAAGAGCCTGAAGCCAGCTGTGATTTGTAAAACTTCAGTGTAGTTCCCCAGCTAAGCAAGAGCCGTCCAGGGCAGCTGATCTAGTTCCAGGATAGTAACACTCCTGACAACCTGCAGAAGTAGAAGTGAATCCTCCCTAGAGGACTCTGATCAATATCACAAAGACCACCAGCACAGAAGCAAAGATTGAAATTAGAGTCCACAGAAACAACAGTTAACAGATGAAGGTTCCCCACCTCCAGGTACTGGAATTGTCAGGTTCATAATGAACCACAATATGCAAAATAATAGGATAAATAAAGGTCATTAAGTTGTCTCCTGCTGTGTAACAAATTACCCCAAAATTTAGTGGATTGAAACAACAACATTGTTACTTCGCAGTTTCTGTAGATCAGGAATCCAGGCATGGCTTAGCTGGGTCCCCTGCTTCAGAGACTATAATCAAAGTGTCAGCCAGGGCTGTAATCACCTCGAGGCACAACTAGAAAGGATCTTCTCCCATACTCATTCTTTTTTTTTTTTTTTTTTTTCCCATACTCATTCTTGTCATTGTTACCAGGGTTCAGTTCTTCACAGGCTATTGGCCAGAGGTTTCATGCGTCACCCACCAGGGTCCTTGGACTCTTTTTTTTAAAAAATAATTTTTAAAACTTTATTTTATTTTTAGCTGCATTGGTTCTTCATTGCTGTGCGCTGGCTTTCTCTACTTGCGGCGAGCAGGGGCTACTCTTCGTTTCGGTGCGTGGGCTTCTCATTGCGGTGGCTTCTCTTGTGGAGCACAGGCTCTCGGCGTGCGGTCTTCAGTAATTGTAGCACATGGGCTTAGTAGTTGTGGCTCATGGGTTCTAGAGTGCAGGCTCAGTAGTTGTGGCACACGGGCTTAGTTGCTCCGCGGCATGTGGGATCTTCCCGGACCAGGGCTCGAACCCATGTCCCCTGCACTGGCAGGCAGATTCTTAACCACTGCGCCACCAGGGAAGCCCCCTTGGACTCTTTAATCAATAAAAATTGATAAAAGGCCAGACAAGAAATTCAGGCAAGCCTTTATTGGGACTCTTGCTGCAGCAGGAGGGAGCGAAAACAAGAAAGAGGTGCCCTTGTTTGCTCCGTGAGGGGGAGCAAGCCGGTTCCTTAAATGGGGTGAGGGGAGAAACAGTTTTTCGGTAGGAAGTACTTCAGGCAGTAGGAAAATTTTAAATTAACCTGGAAAGATTATCTGAGAGACAAGAAGGAAGAGGGAGAGCAACATGAGTCATAAACATTTACGTAATTACAAATAAATATTGCCTGCATAAAATAAGAGATATATTCAACGAGGGCATAAAAAAAGTAAAACTAAAATGCTGACAACACTAGTTGGTTAGTCTGGGAGGGAGCTTAACGGAGTTAAGGTGTTATATTCTCTTTGTATTATTTGAGAGAGGGTTTAAGATCTTTAACTTTTTGCTGAATTAGATGTGTAAGGTAAAGTTTCAAGGATAACCAATAAAAATAAAAGAGAATTCGTGTATAAATTTGAAACCAGAAGAAAGAGAAAATAATGAACTGAGGAAACAAACAAAAAATCCAGTAAAAGACAAGAATGGAGGAAAAAAGCGTTGAAAAGGCAGAACAAGAAATATAAAAATAAAACAATAGAAATAAATCTAAATATATCAGTAGAAAATAAATATAAGTGGACTAAAGAAAAAATTCATAGAACTACAGGGAGAAATTGATATTTTAGTTCATTTGTTATTTTATGCAGCTTTTCCTCTAGTTTAATGTAATTTAATGTGCAGGGTAAATGTCTTAATATTTCTTATCAACTATTAGAAATCAAATCCAGAGTGCAGACAAAACATGTTTAAAAGAAACAAATGTGGGCTTCCCTGGTGGCACAGTGGTTAAGAATCTGCCTGCCAATGCAGCGGACACAGGTTCCCTTCCTGGTTCGGGAAGATCCCACATGCCGCGGAGTAGCTAAGCCTATGCAGCACAACTACTGAGCCTTAGCTCTAGAGCCTGCCAGCCACAATTACTGAGCCCACGTGCCACAACTACTGAAGCCTGCGTGCCTAGAGCCCGTGCTCTGCAACAGAGAAGCGACAACAATGAGAAGCCCGCGCACTGCAACGAGGAGTAGCCCCCGCTCACCGCAACTAGAGAAAGTCCACGCACAGCAACGAAGACCCAACACAGCCAAAAATAAATAAATAAATTTTAAAAAATAAATAAAACAAACAAATTTTTTTTAATATTGCTATATATTTTGTAAATATATTTGGATAAATGAGGGCAACTGTTCTCACAAAAGAGAAAAGATCTAGAAAACCATAATTCAAAAAGTCATGTGCCACAATGTTCATTGCAGCACTATTTACGATAGACAGAACATGTAAGCAACCTAAGTGTCCATCGACAGACGAATGGATAAAGAAGATGTGGCACATTTATACAATGGAATATTACTCAGCCATACAAAGAAACGAAATTGAGTTATTTGTAGTGAGGTAGATGGACTGTCATACAGAGTGAAGTCAGAAAGAGAAAAACAAATACGGTATGCTAACACATACATATGGAATCTAAATGGTTCTGTTGAACCTAGGGGCAGGACAGGAATAAAGACACAGACATAGAGAATGGATTTGAGGTCGCGGGGAGGGGGAAGGGTAAGCTGGGACAAAGTGACAGAGTACCATTGACATATATACACTACCAAATGTAAAATAGCTAGTGGGAAGCAGCTGTATAGTACAGGGAGATCAGCTCGGTGCTTTGCGACCACCTAGAGGGGTGGGATAAGGAGGGTGGGAGGGAGGCGCAAGAGGGAGGGGATATGGGGATGTAGCTATGCATGTAGCTGATGCACTTCGTTATACAGCAGAAACTAACACAACATTGTAAAGCAATTATACTCCAATAAAGATGTTTAAAAAAAAAGAGAGAAAAGATCTAGCTGACTAAATTGATAACTTAATGAAGATTTACTTCATCACTTTAAACACACAGAGGTGAGAACCTAACGCATATCAGAATAGGATAGGCTAAATCTATTTTGTTACATCTATAATATAGGTTAGAATAGGACATTCAAAAAAGACGAAGTGGGGTTTCCCTGGTGGCGCAGTGGTTGAGAGTCCGCCTGCCGATGCAGGGGACACGGGTTCGTGCTCCGGTCCGGGAAGATCCCACATGCCGCGGAGCGGCTGGGCCTGTGACCCATGGCCGCTGAGCCTGCGCGTCCGGAGCCTGCGCGTCCGGAGCCTGTGCTCCGCAACGGGAGAGGCCACAACAGTGAGAGGCCAGAGTACCGCAAAAAAAAAAAAAAAAAAAAAGACGAATTGCATTTATACGGTTTCATGAGAAAAAGAAAGTTTGAAAACAACATTAACACAGTAATCATATTTGTGAAAACGTGAATATTCTGTGTTAAACTGTAAAGATTTTATTTTCGGGAAAGGATTTTGGGACGAGTATTTTCACATTCTGCACAATACACTATCATGTATAAATTCATTACAAATAATATTATTTTCCGATTCTGGAAAATAAAGGATTTCATCTTTCTTTTTCTAACAGCAAAAACAACCATGCCATTTGTGGGTTACTAGGCAACGCTCGCCGGACCAAACCATCCTCGAGGGTGAGGGGGGAGATTTTGCTCTAAGGAAGTGCTCGAGATTCGTCATGCGGCCATCTTTGAGAGGGGCACAGCTGTTTCTAGCCTTGGAAGAGAACGAGGACTGAATGGTGGTTGCTAGGCAACGCCTAGGCACTGTCGCCATCATTGAGTATGGCATAGTGCTGCCACTACAAAACGGAAAGCTAAGCCAAAGCGGTTGCTAGGCAACGCCTCGGCACCGTCGCCATCTTTGAGTGTGGCACGGCTCTTTGTCAATTTAGAATGTGAAACGTATTAGTTTACGTGATGGTTACTAGGCAACGCCTTGGCGCAGTCCCTACCTTCGAGTCGGGCTCTTCATACTCTTAAATAGAGTCAAACCGCTTCAAGGAGCGACTACGAAGCTTCGCAAATAAAATTAGCCGCCATCTTTGTTAGGGGTATTGTGACTTCCGGCTGGGGCGGAAGAGAGCGTAACGGGGCTTCGGGGAGGTGCTGGAATAGGAGTTGATGGGGGTTTGAGTTGGATGAAGAAGGCGGGAATCCAGTCCTCTTCCAGTTAGCTCCCCATCTCGCCCTCTGTCGGCTTCGGACCGCAGCCTGACTTCGTGTGACTACCGGCATGCTCCAAGGCGGGCATTGACTGTCCCCACGGAGGGACTGGGAAGCGGGGGTTCCAAATGGGGGAGGAGGGGACCGAAGGCACCGTACATCTGCTGTGCCTCGCGGCATCCAGCGGGGTCCCTCTGTTTTGCAGGAGCAGCCGCGGCGGCGCCCCCGCCCGCCAACAGGTGGGGCCCCGGGCGCCTGGATCTCCGAAATGGAAGGGGTTTAGATGCTTGGACTCTGGGTCTTCAAGGGAGTAGGGGCTGGGGAAGTTTCAGAATTGAGTTTGGAGGGTCGAGGGTGCAATTGACCAGTGATCCTGGTTCCCCGAAGAGGAGGGGCCAGGAGATCTAGAGAGAGGAGGGGGTTGGGGACCTGAGTCATTGGTTCCAATAGAGGACGGGATTTGGGGGCTCCTGTCTAAAATCCCCAATCTTTCCCCAGCTCCCATTCTCTGTCATCGGCTCCCTCAATGGAGTCCATATGTTTGGGCAGAATCTCGAGGTGCAGCTGAGCTCTGCGAAGACGGAGAACACAACCGTGGTGTGGAAGAGCTTCCATGACAGGTCTCCAAGGGTAGCTTGGGGGCAGGGCCAGGGTGATAGCCCCTGTTGAAGACGACCCTGAGGCCATCCAGCTGTCCAACGCCAGCTGTTTACCTGGCTGTGGGATCTTTGACAAGTCAGTTACCCTCTCTGATCCCTGAGTTTCTCTGAATGAAAAGCAGGTTGTGCTCGGGCATGGATGTAGCTGGCATCCAGGATCAAGGGCAGACCCTACTCTCCTCCCTGCCTTGTTTCCTTGGCCTGGACTCATTCTTCCTTCTCACCTTCCTTTCTCACAGCATCACCCTCATTGTTCTGTCATCTGAGGAGGGCACCTCGGAGCTGAGGCTGGAGAGACTACTCCAGATGGTGTTTGGGGCCATGGTGAGACTCCCCAGCCCTCTTTTCCAATCCCAGGAACCTGAACTCTCAGCATCCCTCTCCCTCAGGACCCAGGAATCCTAGAACTCAGTCCCTCCTGCCTCGGACTAAGGAGTCCAGATCCCCAGTTTCCTCCTCCTGCAGACACAGGAGTCTGAGTCCCAGCCCCTCCTGTCTTATAACCAGTTATCCAGGTCCCCTGCTCTCCTATATGGTTCTTCTAGGTTCTTCTTGTGGGACTTGAAGAGCTGACCAATATCCGCAATGTAGAGAGACTGAAGAAGGAGCTGAGGGTGAGGCTGCAGGACGTGAGGATGGGAAGTTAGGATACCTGGTTACTGATATTTGGGAACTACAGTTCCCAGAAGCCCCCGGGGCAGCCTGACCCAGTGGGTTCAGGGGGCAGCTTGGTTGTCTGACACCCCTCAGCAAGGCCCAGTAGGGCCAGTTTTCTGAGGAGGAGGCAGCAGATCTGGGTACCACCTGGGTCCTAGGCTTCATTTTCCCTCTGCTAGGCCAGTTACCGCCTCATCGACAGCTTCCTTGGGGACTCAGAGCTCATCGGGGACCTGACCCAGTGTGTGGACTGTGTGGTTCCTCCAGAGGGGTCCCTGCTGCAGGTATTGGGAATGCCTTGTAAAGTCTTAAAACTGTCCCTCCGGCCCTGGCTCAGTCCCCATCCTCTTACCCTTGGACCATTGCCTCAACCTCTTCCTATCCTTTTGGCTTCTAGTCCAACCCCCGCCTTGACCCCGGAAGGATCTTTCTACACCGAGAGCTGCCCCTGCCCCTCCCCTGGTCACAGCCCACCCGTGGCTTTCCATCACCCCCAGGACAAGGTCTCAGCCCCTCAGCCTGGTGTTGAGGACCTGAGGAATCTGACGCCCGCCAGCCTGCTCGCCCTAATCTCTACTAACTCCACAGTCCACCCTCTCCCAGCTGCCTCATAAGTCTCACAAATCCCCACAGCTTCCCAGCTTCCCTGCCCTGGCACATCCTGTTCCTTCTACCTAGGAGATCTCTATCTCCCCTTCCTTAAATATTGCTCTGGATTCATCTGGCATGACTTGCCTCCCAGCATTGTGACTCTCGGCAGGTGACTTGACCTCTCTGAGCTTCAGTAGGTTGTAGATTGCGCCTACCTGGCATATAATACAACGCGATAAACCGTAGCTGCTGCTGTTACAAGTATTAGCTTCAGTAGGACGTGTCAGGCTATGTAGCAATCACCCTACCTGTTTAATTTCGCACTGTGACTTGGGATGGTACCTGCATGTGAAGGTGAAGGAACTCAGGCCCAGGGAGGGTGGGACACATGAGCATGGCCACCAAGCAAGCTTTGAATTGTATGGCCGTCTCTTCCCACTCCTTACGCACCTGGGAAGTCACTGTCGGCCCTGCTCAGGTCTCCTGACCCGCAGCCGGCCTGCCTCCCTTACCCAGGAAGCCCTTTCTGGGTTCGCCGAGGCTGCGGGCACGGCCTTCGTCAGCCTGGTCGTGTCGGGCCGGGTGGTGGCAGCGACAGAGAGCTGGTGGCGGCTGGGGATGCCGGAAGCCGTGCTGCTCCCCTGGCTGGTGGGATCCCTGCCGCCGCAGGCCGCTCGCGACTACCCGGTGTATCTGCCTCACGGGAGCCCCACGGTGAGTGAGTGGATGGGGCGGGCAGGGGGAAGGTGGGGGCGGGGAGGAGCGCGCAAGGGGTGGTACCTGGAGGCTGTCTCGAGGAGGCGGGGCTTGCGATGAGAAGGGGAGGAGCTCCGGCCAGCCCACTCTGCGGGCTGCCTCAGGTGCCGCACCGGCTTCTGACCCTGACGCTCCTGCCGGGCTTGGAGCTGTGTCTGCTCTGCGGGCCGCGCCCTCCCCTCAGCCAGCTGGATGCACAGGTGAATCTGGGCTACGTCCCGCTCTTCCCCTATTTCACCCGCTACCCGCGAGCCCCGGCCCTTCTCCGAGCACCCTGACCCGCCGAGTGCGCTCTTTACGCTTGACTCGCCCTTGGTCCCGCCCCCGCCCCTCGTAGGCCCCGCCCCCTTCGGGCTGTGCTCCAATCACCGTCCCCGCAGCTCGGCCCCTCTTTCCCTCTTACAGCGTCCTTCCGGGCCTCGCCCCTTCCACGGTCCCCTCTGCCCTCTGCCCTTGTGTTCTCCTCCCCTGCCCTGGCCAAACCGCCTTCTCTTGGTATTCCCCCGACCTCACCCACCGGCCCCGCCTCTCTCGCTGGCCACGCCCCCTGCAGCTTCTGGAGCGCTGGTGGCAGCCACTGCTGGACCCGCTGCGGGCCTGCCTGCCTTTGGGATCCCGAGCGCTGCCCGCGGGCTTCCCCCTGCACACGGACATCCTCGGGTAGGGCTCAGACCGGGGAGTGGGTTGGGGGTGGGGAGTGGGTTGGGGGTCCTCAACCCCTCTTTTCTGGCCGTGACACCTCTTTTCCCACAGGCTGCTGCTCCTCCACCTGGAACTGAAACGTTGCCTCTTCACGGTGGAGCCCTCGGGGGATCAAGGTGACTGAGAGGAGGGCGGGGCCGGGAGGGGCGTGGGTTGGGGAGGGGCTCTCTGTTACCCTGTGCCTCTTCCCCCTTCAGAACCGTCTTCTGAGCAGCGTCGGCGCCTCTTCCGCTCCTTCTACACCCTGGTCACCGCCACGCACTTTCCACCAGGTCAGCGGCGGGCACAGTGCCCCCTTTGCACAGGCTGGGACACTTGAGTCCCAGCTCCCACAAGCTGCTGGTGGGGAAACTGGTAGGGGAAGCCAGCTGCGAAGTGGGCGCGGCTGTCTGTGAGGACTGGGCAGTGCACACTGACAGGAAGGCAAGAGAGGGGCAGGAAGGTCCCAATCGGTAGGTTTCAGGACCTCCTGGCTAATCCTAATAGCTAACACTGAGGCCTCATGTCCTGCCAAGTGCTTTTCTGTGTACTGACTCACTTCATCCTCATAGGTGAGGGCTATCTCCTGTTACGTCATCATTTCCATATTACGGATGAGGAAACAGGCTCAGCTAATAAGCAGCAGAGCCACGATTCAGCCAGGCAAGCCTGGCTCCCACATCCACACACTCCTGCTCCAGCGCTGCAAGTACGCGCTTTGCCGATAGTCTTGGGTGGAGTAGGGGTGGTAGATTCCACGGAGCCCAGGTCCGGAAGGAAAAGTTGTCACATACGACCTGTGAGGCTCAGAGAGACAAAGGAGGGGACCTGGAGTGACACTACCACCCCAGCGAAGACCCTGATGGATGTAACAAAACGGTAAAAAGCTCCACCTGGAAGGGGCAGACGACTGTCCCTTCCTAGCTATGCGACTCCACCTCCCAACCTGCTTCCCACCTGTAAGTGGGGCAGGGTCCTCAGAAGGGTTACGGGAGGTCTTCCCTGGAGCCCAGCGCCCGGCACCTGGGAAACATCTCCTGCGTGTTTATGCTCTGTATTGCTAAGCAGATTACCTAGGGCTGCACACGCAGTGTACCCACGAAAGTGGGGGATTGAGGCTGGGTGGGAAGAGGGGGAGAAAGTCCGTGATCTTCTCAGGTCCTGACAGCTGGCTGGAGCTGTAAGGCTCTCCTCTGTCAGGAGTCAAACTTAGGCCCAGGATGGGGGTGGCCCCCGCAGGTTGGCATCCTACTTGTCCAGGCCCCACTGGTCACCTCGGCCCTCCCTGTCCTTCCTTCAGAGGCGGGGCAGCCAGAGGAGAAGGCGGAGGAGGTGGTCCATCGGGCGCAGGTGCCGAGAGCCTGCTACCTGGTGTCGGGGGCTGAGGAGCCAGGCACAGGATGGCGACTGGTGGCCCTGCAGCTGGGGCCACGGCGGTTGCTGCTGCTGCTGTCTGCTCAGAGCCCCACGCATGGGCTGCGGGGCCTAGCTACCCACACTCTGCATGCCCTCACCCCACTCCTCTGACCGCTGGGCGTGAGCGCCAGACACAGACAAGGACATGGGGCTGTTAGCGTCTCTCTGTTTATTCGCTCACAATAATACACAGCCCCTGGACAGGGAGGGGGCAGGAGGGGCTACGACAGGGTGGGGTGGGAGGGGAGGACATTCCCACTTCCCTGGCCCCTCTCCCCTCTGTGCTTCGGTGGGGGGAAAGGGAGGGAGGGGGCTCCCCCTTACCCCCCAGAATGTAAACAGCAGCAGATGAACAAAAATAAAAATACAAAAGGCTGGAGGAAGGTCCTAGGCACCCCCCGACCCCGGGGTCTTCCCTGTCACCAGCAGAGGTCCCCTCACTGCCCCATCCACCACGGCTGCCTCAGTCCTGGTGGCTGCCCAGTGCCGGCCACATCCCCGGGGGCACAGTCCAGGGCTCAGAACTGCTGGGCCAGCAGCTCACAGAGGTGACGGGAGACGGGCTCCTTACTGGTGCGCAGGGTCAGCCGGTACATCTGGGGGGATGGGGGGACTCAGGGAGGAGGCAGAGAGGATGGAGAGCCCGGGGTGGGGGGTTGGGGGGGGAGGGGGATACAGGGCAGATAAATGATGAGAGGAGAGAAAAAGGATCAAGGGATCAGAAAGGTGACAGAAGGGCCAGGGAAGACAGAGGTAAAGGATGAAAGAGAAAAAAGAGGCCACAAAGGGTGGAAGGGATATGGAGAGATGAAAGTCAGGGAGGGAAAGGGAGAGGAAGACCAGAGGATGGAGAGACAGGAGGGAGGCAGGAGAGGGAGGAGACAGGGCCACAGAGCAGAGGCATGTGATTGAAAGAACATAGTGAGGCAGGAGGGGGCCGGGTGCAGAGAATGCACACGAAGTGGGGAGCCTCGCAGAGCACCACTCACCTGAGCCTGGGCATTGGGCTCCAGCCGGAGCAGACAGCCCACCTGCAGGGCTTTCGTCTGGATGATTCCAGCCCCCACGAAGTTCTCCGGGTTGGGGTCCACATTGTCCAGGAGAGCAGAGCCAAACCCCAGGAGCTGAGGAGGAAGGGGGGGAGCCGTCAGAGGGTGCCCGATCTCTGTTAGCTCCCAGACAGTGGCACACCAGTTCCCCCAAACCCTTTGGAGTGGAAATTGGCCCCACTTTACAGATGGGAAAACAGAGGCTCAGAAGTGGAGCAGCCACTGCTCCCCAAATCCCAGAGTTGGAGAGAGAGGCAGGCCTGGGAAACTAGCCCCGGTGCATCTCCTGTCTAGCCTGTCTCACCTTGGCCTTAGTGACCTCCGCGTCCATGGGGTGGTTGGCTTTGAAGATTTTCTGTGCCTCCTGTTGGGGCCTAGGGGCCGGGAAAGGTTCAAGTCAGGGACCTGGAAGCCCCAGCCCCGCCCACCCTGAGGGCGGTTTTGGCTCCGTCCCCCCCCCGCGGCTCACAGGCTCAGCTGCTTCCAACGCTGGAAGAAGTCCTGGGCCGCCATCTCCGTCGGCTGGAAGAACTTGTTGATGGTCACCGGGAGCTTCAGGGTGAGGGATTGGGGGGCGCCCCCGTACCTGGCGGGAGAGGAGGGAGGGCTCGGTCGGACCACACCCTCGCCCCGGAACCCCCGCCCACCCGGCAGCGCCCCGCCTCCTGACTCACCGGAAGCGCACGGACAGGAGGGGGGGCGTCAGGAAGTCCCGCAGACACTCGATGTTGAGCACCTGCTGTACCTGTGCCCCACCGTCCACCTGCGAGGCCACCCGCTTGGTCTGCACGGCCAGCTGTGCCCGCCCGTGGTCAAGGAAGCCAGAAACAGGAGCGGCTCGGGGGGCGGGGTGGTGGTGATGGGGAAGGGACTTGACCATCCACCTGATGGTTCAGAACTTTCCTGGAAGCCCCAGCCTGCCGGCCCTTCAGGGGCTTGGCGCTGCCGTCCAGGGCTCATCGTACAAGGCCTAGCTCCAAAGTCCTTCCTAAGCCAAACCTCTGACCTAGGTGCCTCCTCTGGCCTTCCACAGTGGGCTCAGCCACCTCCATTATGGTACAGGTCACACCATGGCTCCGAAGGCTGACCTGGGTTTGAATCCCAGCTCTTAGCACCTCGGTTACTATGGGCAAGTCACTTAACCTCTCTTAGCCTCATCTGCGAAATGGACATAGTGTCCTCAGCAGTCAATGAAATCATCCAGCACAAGTACTTGTCAGTGTGTGTGGCACACGGTAGGTTCACCAAAATGGTGGCCTTTGCGTCAACAACCCACTGGCAAGGACGGGGTCTTATGTCTCTCTCCCCCGGGCCCTGCCCAGCACAGAGCTGAGCCTACAGAAGGCCTCTGGAAATGTTGAATGAACCAAAGAACTGAAAAGGTCCTCAGTTTTAGGGTCTAACCACTCTAATTTCCAAGTTGTGCAAACTGAGGCCCAGAGAAGGGGGACAGGGGACTGACGACACTGCTCAAGCAGTTCCTTTATGCCAGCCACCCTTCCAGGGTCTTCGAACCACACTGATATTCAAAACAAGCCTGTGAAAAGGAGGAGGAGGATCTACACTTCACAGAAGGGATAGCAAGGCTCAGAGAGGCCAAGTGACTGGCCCAGGTCACACAGGAGAAGGCCGTGGTTGGCAACAAGACCCCCAGGCCTGGCTTTCGAGGGCAGGAGGCACTGGAATCGGGTGTCGAGCCCGATGGAAGACAAGGTCAGGACACGGGAGGGGCTTCACAGGGACCAACTGAGGCCCAGAGCAGCTGTGATTCTGGAAGTAACACCTCCTGCATCCCTATCACATCATGTCACTATCATCTCCTGTCCTGTTAAAGAGGCCCACCCCATCTTACAGATGACGCTAAATCACGGGCTCAGGCTTTCAAGCAAGAGGGCCAAACAGGGGTCTGGACCTGGGTCCATCTCCTTCCCAGCTGCCAGGAAGGTGGACCTGGAGGGGTGGGGCTGGGCCAGGCCGACAGGATATGAGTCTGGAGGTCTCCAGGGTGGACCACGGTGGGAGAGAAGTTCTGGAACTGCACTGAAGTCTTGTTGCCATAGAAGAGATACATGCGCCCTGTGGGGGGTGAGGAGAGGTAGGGCTCCATCTGAGTTCCTTCCACGCCCTCCTGAAGCCAAGGTCTCCCCGAGACTTCACCCCATCGTCCCCTGGACTCACCCAAGTTCTGCCGGAACTCTGACTTGACTCCAATCTGCAGCAGCTGGTTCTCAAACAGGACCCCGTTGTTCCTGCACACGAACCTGGGTGGGGGCGGTGGGAGCTCAAGGTGACGGGGGCCTGCCTGGCTCCTGCTCTGTGCTTCCCACTGGTCCCCACTGCCCTCCCCAACCTCACCCACGACTCACTTATTCAGCAGCTCATCGGCTTCCGGGATGGGTGGGCCAATGTCCTCAGGACCTGGGCTGCAGGTGGGAAAGGAGAGAGATGGGAAGGGGCTTGGGGGGCTAGAGGTAAAGGCCCAGAGCTAGTGGTGGGAGATTGCAAGCCCTGAAGGAACAGAAGCCCAGAATCCATATACCCAGATTCCCCAAAGAGCCCCAGAATCAGACTGGCAATCGCCTCTAGTGGGAATAGGACCCTGGCAGGTACCGTCAGCACCCCCCTACCCTGTATCAGACGGCCCTGATTTCACTCCCTTCCAATTCCTTGCAGCTCATCAGGAGAGCTTAACGAGAGCTCCCAGTCCCCTAACCCTCCCTGGGGACACGGGAGTCTGCCCCCCAACCCCCTGAGGCCACCCCTTACTCAGCAGCTGGAGCTGGGTCAGCCAGCAAAGCCATGGGGCTCTCAGGGGCAGGCGGCTCCAGCTCGCTGGGCCATCCAATCCCAGAGCAGACAAGAGAAGACAGGCGTGGCAGCAGCCAATCCCAGAGAGGCAGCAAGAGGGCAAAGAGAGGGAGTGGGGAGAAGGGAAGGAGAGAAGGAAGAGCAGGCTGAGACGTGATGACGGGAAAGGACAACACAGGGTGGCCAGGGTCAGCCGAGAGTCCAGAGTGGCCCAGAGGGAGGCAGGAGGCCGGGGGAGGTGGCAGCCAGGGCGACAGAGGCTCAGGGACAGGGAGGGAGGGGGGAGTTGGGAGGGGGCAGATGGAAAGGGGGCAGCCCTGGGCCCAAGGCGGGCGGTACCTGAGGAAGGCCTCCTCGGGGGTGGGGCCCAAGCTAGGCTGGGCGGCCGGGCCGTCGGAGAATACGTCCACCAGGAGGTTGCCCGCACCCGAGGGAGCTGGGGGTGCCGCTGGGGGAGGGGCTGCCCGCAGCCCCAGGAGGTCGGCGGAGGGTGAGGGCGTGGACTGCAGGGAATGCAGGCACAGGTGAAAAGAGAGGACGGCATGGCTGGGCCCAGCCCCGGCAGCCCAGCCCCACGGGACTCACCACGGTGCTGGGGGTGGGCTCCACACCCCCATTGATGTCGTGGCTGCTGGGCTCCCTCCGGCCATCATCCAGGGCACTGCCGGCCCCTGGCCCTTTCTTGCGTTTCAGCTTGGCCAGGATGGACGACTCGCGCTCAGGGAAGGGTGGCATCTCCTCCAGCACCGTGGCCTGCGGGTTCGGGGCGGGGGGGTGGGGGGTGTTGGGGGGAAGGAGCAGGTCAGGGACGGGCGTCCCGGGGAGGAGGAGGGGACAGAGGTGCAGAGGAGGGGCGCATGGGGACTGGGGCTCTGACCAGGACGTCCGTGCTGGCCACCGAGCTAAGGGTGAGGTACTCGACGGCGCGCTGCTGCAGCTCCACATCGGCGTTGCGCAGCTGGGAGCCGGCCCGCAGGACACCCTGGATGGTGGCCTTGGTCTCCGGGAAGAGGTTGATGAACTTGATGTAGGTGGACAGCAGCAGGGCCCGGGTGGCCACGCTGCACAGGTGGAACTTGGAGTGCAGCAGGGAGAACTGCACTGGGGGGCTGCAGGGGGCGGGGCCGGGGGTGCGCGTCAGCAGGTGGCCAGCTCCACCACCCTCTCCCAGAAGCCCCCATGAGAGGTGCCGCCTCCCTCAGGGAGACCTTTCCCGGGATCGCAGGCGGACCCCAGGGCCCCAGACCCCTCAGGAGTTTGTGTGCATTCAC